TTATCAGAGATCGAGTTTATTTTAAACTGAAGAAGAATGTTGGTTGTATTTACGTAAAAGATCTGAGCTCTTTATCTTGTATGGTAGTCGAGATATGAGCAACGCATTTTTCAAAAGTAAGTCGAAATTTTAAAATGCTCGTTTCTCAGCCACCAAGCAATATTTTTTCAAACAGAAAACGTCATTTTACTCAGAAATGTTTACTTAATTATTTATGAGTGGTCTGAACGAGTTCTCTGACATACGTTTGAGTATCTAACAACAATACAGTCCTAACAGTCCTAACAGCATACAAAGCTTCTCTCGTTTATCTGTACCTCTGATATTACTCAATGTTGCTAATAGATCTAGCATATCGTCTAGTATGTCTTATGCAATCTAATATGCCATTGTTTCTGAATATTTGTAGTATTGTCAGAATAACGATAATAATTTTTATCGTATTGATGTTATATTGTACAGATAGTCGGGACTCGGCACGTTTGGTGTACTGCCATCCAATATTTCCTGATATATATTCATGTTCATTAGAGAGACTTTTTATAGATCTCTTTTATTGCAGAAAAGCTCAAGCCCCGGAAACGTAAACTGGCCCTTACTACATGCACAGTCCTCAAGGTTATTTTGTGTGTTTTCTACTGTAGATGTTTGAGATACTTTCGAAAAATGAACTCGTTTCTTTTGTGTTAAACATCGTTCTGAGTATAAAAGACTGTTAGACTCAAAAAACTAGAATTTCGAAGGGTGTTCACAATTTGGAATATCTTCTTGCGGAAGAAATACTTGAAAAAAAGCCAGAACAGTTTAGGGCAACCAGGACAGGAGTTTTCCAGAGATCAAGGTCAAAAAAAGAACCCTGAAGTACTTCCCAAGAGCTTTGAATATACTTCAAGCTGGAGAGTTCGGGTTTGTTTTAAGTTAGACACCTAACTACATCGTCTGACAGACGCCGATTTTTCAGTTAAGCCTTTATTCGTTTTCTGGGCAACCAACAACCTCCAAAACCCGAAAACTCCTTCCGGATTTTCTAAAAATCCTCAGTTTGATAAAAAGCTAAGACTTAATTCAAAAATCAGCGCCGGTCAGTTCATGTAGTCACTTTTCTTCTTTTAAACAAAAAAGAATAAACTCTCTATGAGAAACCGCTAACAAAAATCTTGGGAAATACTTCAGTTGGAACTCTTATATAGTGAAAACGCTGTATAAAGTACTTAATTTTAGGACTTGTAGGAAAATGCCTGTAACTTTTTGATGAAAGATCATACAGAGTTGTGCGAGGTCTTATTTTGATCAGAAACGTTTGTTCTACAAGTCTGTACGTTGAGAAAAATTTTAATCGCATAAGTATCCAGGGAAAAGCTATTATTTGAACATTCGGTTTTTCGAGGCTCCGAGAAAACTTGCTCAGAATCCCAGAAAACTCAATTCTAACTAAAATATTAACTAAAATTCAAGCTGGTCATATTCGTCCCGTTAATAAAAATCAGGAGTCTTTAGAATATCATCAAAAACACATTGATCGTCTACTTCATGTTAAATGGTCATTCACTCTCCCATTTTCCAATAATAGATTCTTCACGTATTCATATATTTTTTTAATTGATTGTAAAATCGAAGATAAACGTTGATTGGCAATGTTTCATTGTATAATGTTAATAATTCCGATTTTAGCGATTGATACATCTGCGCTGAGTTTATGTCACACATTTTGTACAGTTCAAATAGATCTTGTCCATTCATTTTTTTCAACAGTGGGTACATTTCTTGAAGATTATATTCGGAAAGAAAATTCAAAATATCTGTGTGTGTCCAGTCAAGAATAACAGCGCATGAATCTGATGATGAAGGTAGCTCATGATAAAGATTTGAAGTTATTGCTGATTTAGGAGACACATTCTGTGCTTGAATTTCTTCAATTAATTTATCACACGCCTTCTCAAAGCCTAACTTGGGATAGTTGATATAAGTACGAGATCGAATAATGAATAGTAGCCAGCCATCTGGCCGATAGGTATCTCTCATTATCAACGGAATTAGTGGACGCTGTTTTTGATACGCAAATTCGGCTTCCGACTGACAACTTGGACTTGTTTTATACGAATCAGATACACATAAAAGAACAATTTTAGATTGTTCAATAGCGTTGACCATTGCTTCGATTGTTGAACCACGCATAGCATCTCGATCAAGCCAAACACGAAAATTCTGAGTGATTAAACGTTTATGAATTTTATAGCACAATTCTTTATCGTCATGTGAATAACTGAGCATTATATCGTATTGGTCACTAGGTCTTCTTGTGGATAATAGTATAGTTTTCTTCTCCAATTTCCATAAAATGCCCTCAGCTGCTTGTCGAGTTCTTAAATCGGATATTGATGAAAACGTAACCGATTTTATATAAGACAACAACGGCTGACTAGATGGATCTTTTAAAACGTTAGCCGCTTCATCAATAAATGTCATTGACCAGATAATCTCCAATGATTTTCGTAATATATTAATCTCACACTGAAATTTTGCATCTAAGACACATTGGATAAGCAGTGGTAAACCATTTGTCGCAACAATTTCATGTTTAATTTGATCATGCTGAACAAGTACTACAACAGAGAAGCATATAAATTGATGAGACTTCGTCTGAAAAAAATCAAAATCTTTAATTGAAAGAAAATCTGCTTCCACTTGCACGTGCTTTGATCCATCAAACATTTTTGTGCTAGAATAACATTTTTTTTAATATCACAATAGAACCAGTGGTGCAGATTAAACAACACCCAGTATTTTGTTCATAAATTTTTTTTTTCTTTCATTCCCAAGAACCGATCCTTTTTTTGTAAAAGATGTGTGTTGAAATTCTCTACAAAAAAAACATATTGAGCGTTTTGCTACAAAATGTAAGAGTGGAGCGTCATACGAATAATAGTGAGAAGATCTAAAATGGGCAAAAGTGTCACGCACTTTTCAGAGTATTCAAGTTTTCTTTTAAAACACTTATGCAGATACCAAGATATACTTTGTAGCAAAATGCAAAATGCTTTTTTAGAGAATTCCACGATGGATCTTTTATAAAAAAGATTGATTCTTGACATCACAACGCTTTTTACTTTTTAAAAAAGAATCAATCCGAAAACTTTTTGAACGTCATACTCTCTAAAGACCATAGGTTTATTACGAAATCTAGAAGCATATAGAGAAGTACAACCATTTCGAAACCGTTTTAGGATTGGTATGAATCCCTTTTGGATTTCCTACTTCGACTACGAAACCTTTTCCAAGAACATAAAAATTTTGTAGTCGAAATACGAAACCTAAAACGGTTTGCACTTCTCTATACCCTTTTAGGTTTCGTAATAAACCTATGTTTTTCAAAGAGTACGTACTTAACATGTTATAGAACCAAGGAAGAAACACCAGACAATTTTATTGTTTGTTTATTAATTACGATCAAAAATATATATTGAGAATCTTTGCCACTGTTGAAAACAAATGAGTCATAATAAAGGAACTATGGATAATGTTATTAGAGATGCTGTATTAATTGTTGATACATAGTAATAGGTTTTCATACAATAGCGACAATTCTATGAACTTCTAGACCTCACGACTCCAGGAGTTTGCTGTTTCCCCCTTGTGTAGAACTCATTGAATTACATCATATTCCTAATTCCACAGAACCAAAAAAAAGAGGATATCTGCATTTTTTACTCAGAGATTCTAAAAAGGATATCCCGACATGGAAATACCCTTTCTTGGTTCTGTATGATACGCAATTTTTTTAGAGAGTATCATATTCACTTAAGTCGATAACTTTAAAAGAAAATAAATCTGCCGAAAAATAATACTTTCAAAGAAATCTTACAAAACCAAAAATGGTACGCTAGAACATCAAAATGGCGTTGTAAAATACGGTTACGGGTATTTCCAATTCCACAGAACCAAAACGAAGAGGATATCTGCATTTGTTACTCAGAGATTCCAAAAAGGGTATTCCGGTATGAATATACCCTTTTTTGGTTCTTTTTTTTTAGAGACTACTCGGTAAATGTTATTTTTAGAAATGCTAATAAAACACAGCTGTGGAGTACTCATCAAGTCGCACAAACAGAAAAATATGTTTAGAAAATGAGTTTATCGGTATTGCGGGAGATTTTGAAAAGTAAAGCTGAAGTAGATTGGAAAGCTATCAGAGATTTTTGAGAATAATATCCTTTCTGTTTCAATATTTTTTAAAGCTTAAGATATAGCCGTTTCCAAGTGCATAAATTTCTGCGCGTAAAACAAGGGGTGTTGCATGGAAATAGGAAAGAAAATGGCTGACAAAGAGCGAAAAAAGTAGAGAAACACAGTACAGGCGATAAAGTGTGGAACATGGATTACAGATACATAGAAAACTCTATTTTTATGCACTTACTATTTGAGAAGTTTTGATAGCTGATGCTTAGATTTTTCAAAACAATGAGTTATTTATTGATGGTTGACAGCTTAGGTATCTAATAATTCGTTGCATACCGATAAACTAGCGCCACTCAGGGCTTATGCGACCTGATGATACTGTTTTTTCAAATATTTCGAAAATCGACTTCGACGAGTCATTTTTTCGAATTTCTTCTTGTGAAGATATGAGCTTGTAAGTAAAATGCAATTTCTGTACACTGTAAACTAGAAAATAACTTATAGAGTATCATAAACGATCTTCTAGGAAAGTCCATACGAATTCCTAGACGAATTTCTACTTTCTTGAAAATAAACTGTTAATATTCAAGTTTCGATTTTCTGTAGGAAATCAAATTGAATTTCTATTATTTAGAAAATCAAGCATTTTCTAAAAGTTTGAAATTCGACGGATAAATAATAAAAGTTGAAAATGCTTTAGCTTTTTGAAAGTCGATTTTCTATAAAATAGAATTTTAAAAAAATTTATAGTGTACAGTATTCAATCAATTGTACTATCTGAACTCAAAAGTCTTCGAACCAAAAGACATTTACAGCATCTAATAGACATTTCAAATGTAGTTGAGAGAGTGATGCGTGTATATTTTTGACTATGTAAGTAATTATTTAAGGGTGTGTGTGTGTCCTATTTAGATTTTAAGATTTCCCAACTTGTAGAGAACACTTTGAAGTATATGTTCTAACCTTTTTTCGGCTTACTGACAGTACCTGACTGAGGAGAAAATTAATTATTTAAAAAAGTTATGTCAAATTTTTGAGTAGAGGAGTATTAAAACATTTCCTGGTCGTTCTTTTGTCATCATGTCATCATAAAAATTTGGTTTTCATCTCGATCGATAGAGAAATGTGCGCATAATACTATGGGAAAGGAAGAAAAGACTTTTTGCTTTTTCCTTTCTGTTAATAACTAATTAGTACTAATTAACGTTTAGTTTAGTCTTCTCTACTAGCTTAAAGTCCTATTTAAAAAATAACGCCATAACGAAAAAATTCAAACAATACCTCATCTGATAGAGAATTTCTCAAGCTACAATTTGATATATATATTATATAATATAGAGGAAAAAGTGTCCTAGGGCATCTAGACAGTAGAAATGTTTCTGCAAAGCCAGAATTCTTCTTATAATTCGCAATTTTCTTCATCAGAACTAAACTTTTATGCAATAAAAGTATCATATTCGGCATCATGGTCAAAAAGTAAGTGGATTGATGTGTATTTCCACCCTATCCGACTACTTTAGTTTTTGTCGAACTTTCACATTGAAAAATTATCAAGAAAACTTTTCGAAATACACATTGGTCGACCTAGTTTGTGATCATAATTCCGAGTATGATACTTTTATTGCATAAAAGTTTAGTTCTGATGAAGAAAATTGCGAATTACGAGCCTCAATGTGAAAGTCAGAATTTTTCTGAGAATTCTGACTTTTCAGAAACATTTCTACTGTCTAGGTGCCCCAGGACACTTTTTCCTCTATATTATATATATCAAATTGTAGTTGGAGAAATTCTTTATCAGATGAGGTATTGTTTGAGTTTTTTCGTTATGGTGTTATCTTTTAAATAGGACTTTAAGCTAGTAGAGAAGACTAAACTAAACGTTAATTAGTACTAATTAGTTATTAACAGAGAGGAAAAAGCAAAAAGTCTTTTCTTCCTTTCCCATAGTAAATATTATGCGCACATTTCTCTATCGACCTAGATGAAAACCAAATTTTTATGATGACAGAGGAACGACCAGGAAAGCCCCCTCCCCCGTGGATCAAAAATGCCGATTTTCGTTAGAAATATCGACTTTGAGAAAAGCACATGATTGGATAGCCCACAATGTCTACTTTCTAATGGTGTAATCTTTGTGTCGATAGGATGGATTTTTCATAGGTTTTGCGAGTGTTTTCCAGCGGCCTCATAGTAAAAAAATGTTTTTTTTGCACTTGTATTGTGTAAGCGCTAGCATGTGCCGCACATGGCCGCGCACATGTTCATTAGGTCCGCCATGACCGATAATCTCTATCAACAAATTATTTAACGTTCAAACAGTTTTTAAGAAAAATGCATTTAACAGAATCAAAATTTATTTTACGTTTTTCTTAAGACTGCTTTTTAGCTTCAGGGCTTTCGGCACGTGCAGGAATTCTCGGTAACGGTACATCGGAGAAAGAAAATTATTTTTTTGATTTGTAGATAACATCTATAGGTAAGAGTTGACACAGTCCGATTTTTAAATTATGCTTCCATTTTTTATAGAAATGAGGATTTCTAAGAAACCTTCCAAAGATTTATCGGACTTTAAAGTTCTATTACAGACCAGAAATCAGCAAATAAGAAATTCAAAAATCGGACTCTGTCAACGCCTAGCTATTGATGTTTACTACAAAACAAAAGTAGACCGAGCCCTCAATTATTTACTTGGAATGAAACTTCTTGCACGTGGTAAACGCTTAATTTGGCGCTTATTGTGGCACCTTCCCACGAACAGTTGCAAGTGACGCGAAAAAAAAATTTCGCCATCACATTTTGACATAATCAACATTCCCTGAAAGTTTGGTTCAGATCAGACCTACTTGCGTTGAGATAATTTTCTGACCTGGGCGTGGGGAGGCTTAAAGGTAAAATATTGCACGATCAATATAGAATAATTTAGATTCTATTTTACCTTTCAAATTAAATAGAAGACCTTGTAGTTTTCCACCAGCACTCGAATGAAGTGGACTTGCGATGGCTTGTCTAATAAAATCGATAAATATTGCTGTTATTTTTCGAGGATCCGTTAGATTTTTTATATCATCTTCATTCATGACAGTAACTAATATTTTATAGGCGTACATTTGTAATGCTTGACATTTTGCATTTGTTAATGTATGAAATGTTTGAATATCATGTTGATCTTTTAAATATGCAGAAAGATTTGGATCTTTTCCCATCGGTGATAATACCCATATAGCTGCATATAACAATTTTGTTTCGAAATTATCTTCATCACTTAAAACCTTATTTTGTAATTGTGACGAATTTAATATTAACAAGATTGAATCAATAATAGTCAAATGATCAGTAAAATGTTGTCTAGTCGATGAATGCTCGCCCATTTGTCGTAGAGCATAACACATATAGCGAACAGCTGTCATTATTGATTCATTCCAATCGGGTAATATTGATGTTAACTTTGATAATATTTGTTCATATCGTTGTAACATTAAATCACAGAGACTATTTGTTAAAAGTTCATTGTTTTTGCCACGATAACGAGAAAAATAATGTGGACAAGAAATGACAAGAAAGTTTTCTTGAACAGTTAGTGATTTTGTTTCGTTTAAATTAATTAAAATATTAAAATATTCAATTGATGAGACCCATTTAACTATTGATTCAGCTAATTCTATTAGATTTGGATTATTAGTAATATTTTCTCTACCATACTGCAATTCAATAAATATCAATAGTAGATTACTAACACCGAAAACTATCTTTTCATCTATATCCAATATAGTTGATAAAGAATTGTCAACAAAATATTTTATAGATTGTACAAGTGTATTGTTCAATAAGAGATTTTTGAATGATTCAAGATTTAATTCATTAATTCGCTTATTAATTATAGTATACAAGAGATCTGTAATACATTTGAAACACACAATTTCTTGTTGTTCCATTATTGACCATTTATTTAACATATCAGTCATCAATTGTATTATTAGAAAGAATAGATCATGATTTAGTACGGATGGATCAGATAGTAGAGTGGTGGAAACATTCTGATGAATTTCATTCAATATTTCATATTGAATTTTGAGTGAGTTCTTATGATGCCATTCTTCAACAAAATTATTCAAAACTTGGATTATATTTAAATCATTGATCTGTTTGATTGAATCATGATGATAATCAGAGTTTAAATTCATGATAGTCGTCGTATGCTTTTCAATTTATGAAAAATAATTTCTTTTTTATCTAAATAAGCTTTTAAAATAGTGTATTTGATTTCTTTATCATTTTTCAAATATAGTAATCATGAGAGAAAACATTTGATCACACAAATATTCATTCATATAAATATACTGACACTAACCATTCGATAAAAACAGCATCCATATTTTATTAAAACGAATATTACTCAACGTTTCGATTAAACATACAGTCATTTTCGAGAGAACATATTGTACATGAAAATTAAGTTGTTTAACTTCTTTTCTAAATCATTGGCTTTAAATCGATTTAATATACTGACACTAATCATGTGTCACTCATAGCAAACATCAGCTGGTCCGTAGGTAACGCAATCACGTATTTTCGACTTTCAAAGCCTGTTTCTCGTAAACGACCAAGAGTGGAAACATGAAATTTGGCGTGTAGATGTATGATAAGGAGGGCTATTACTTCTATAAATATCAACTCGTTTGGATTTTTGATTCGGCTTCTGTAAGCAAAATACATGTCGATAATACAATCACTAAAAAGGCCCTTCTGTTCTCACGAATGTGAAACAGATTAAAATTTCTGCGAATTGTTGCCTGATGAAGTAATTAATCGTATATACTAGGTTGTAGCTAAGACTTCAGGCTATCTAATTAAAAAAAAAAATTCTAAAAGATTGACACTTGCAAGAAATATCATAAAAACATCGTGGTAATGCAATCACACATTTTATTTACCTTTTTTAGCTCAAATTCGATCCTCTTTTATGCTTTCAGTTTTCTCAAACGTATAACTAAAGGTGCAATTTTATGTAATCATAGTAAAAAAACAAGAGATTCTTTGGTTAGAACTTTTTATTAATATTGATTTTCATTTAAAAAAAATAGTCCATTTAGCTATCGCGACAGAGACTTGTTCAAACACCATTATATAGACGATTAAAAACTGAACAAGCGTAGAGTTTGACAATGTTCCCGTGTCACGCGATCTTAGTTTTTTATGTTTTTTTTCTAAGTCAGAGCCGAAAAAGTCGGAATTCTGCTCGTAATTCTCAATCTTCTCCAACAAAACTCAACTTCTATATAATAAAAGCCTCATATTCGGAATCAGGATCAAAAATCAAATCGACTGATATGTATTTCGAAATTTTTACTTGATGTTCATTTTTTTGGTGAAAATCTCTATGAACGTGAAAATTTCAAAAAAACATTAAACTGCTTGGATAGGATAGAAATACACACCAGCCGGTTGATTTTTGATCCTGATTCCGAATATGATGATTTATAGAAGTTGAGTTCTGTTAAAGAAAATTGAGAATTACGAGCAGAATTCCGACTTCTTCGCCTCTGGTTTAGAAAAAATACCTTAGAAAATCAAGATCACGTGATACGGAAACATTGTCAAACCTCTACGCGTGTTCAGTTTTTAATCGGCTATATAATGGTGTTTGAACCAAGTATCTGTCACTTACCTGAGCTGAGATAATTTAATTTTAGAAAAATTTTTAAAGTTTCAAGTTTTAAACTTGAAACTTGGCCCGAAGAGAAAGCCACAAAGCCGTGGTAGTCCAGAAAGATCTCTGAAAACTCATTTGGCTTTATATTGACGTAGACACCTACTTTTCATACGTTTAGCTGTGATATGGGCAGCCTTATAACTCAAAAAGTAAACGGTACCTTTTTCTATAAAATAGCATGGTATAGAGCACAAGTTGTGTACTACAAACTGCCAGAAAAGCTGAGGAAGAGTACCATCAAATTTGTTAATTTTCTAATCCAGGAAGTTGCCAGAATAAACACTAATTTCATAGTAAAGGCAATCTTTCTTTTTGATAAAACGATAAAATTTGTTTTTTTGCTCTATTTGTTGCTTTATATCTCTCTCTATAGTGTGCATAAAAAGAAAAAAAACATCACGTCAAGTATAGTACAGAAAAGAATATATATGTTGTGGCCAATTTGGAAAATTGTGGCCGTTTATAAAATGGCCGGCCACTTTATATATAGACCCGTTCTTATTGCCTGTTTGTAAATTGGCCAAAATTTTCTTGGCTAATATGTAAATGGACCAGCCAGTATGAAATGGACCGGTCAATATACAAAGTGGCCGGAAATAGTTGGCCCACGACTTTCAATAATGGCCAGCCTTTTTCGATAATTAATCAAAATCGTTTTAATGAACTTTTTATTAGAAAATTATACGTACATTAGTATAAGATCTATAGATATATAATGTATGTTATTTAATTTCAATTTTATAGTATCACAACTAACATTTCCATACGTATAAAAAAAACAATCTTTCGGTCATATGTTTAACAAAAGTAGAAGATCGTACGATCGTATGCATAAAGAAAGAATCGTCAGTGAATCAGTACGTTCAGTTGTTGATGTAAATCAAGAAGCATCTGCTACTAAAATGATTGGTGATAGTCATCGTCATTTGCCGCTTGTTACACTTGGCGACAATGTCAGGCTAAACAACCTTACTTGCAAGAACTTTTTGTCCACCAAGAGCAAATTCAGTTTCAACAATATTTTTTAAACTGCGTTCTTCAAGGTTAATATCAACTATTTTGAATATTTTTGAATCACATTTCTCAAATTGATTACGAGTATAGAGACGATTAATTGTTCCACCTCTACAACCAATTTTATACATTCCGTTATTTCCGTTATTTTATACATTTTTCAGACGACGTTATAGCCGTACGTATGTACTATATATACGAGAAAAAGAATGTTCGACTATAACCTCATCTGAAAAAGTGACAGAACGCAAAAGTGATTATCTGAATAAGTGATGATTTATTCACTTATCTTATTTGTAACATCCCTATTATCAAGGCATCCTTCTCTCTTGTGAAATCAAAGGGTGACTTATATCCGACCGCCATCATGTCGATTCGAGTTCGAAAGAAAAGTATATATCCGTCCGTCACTGCAAGGACATTACCAAAAGTGCATAAGACGCTTGAAAACTATGTATTTTCATGAGGTGTCATGTTCGAAACTAGGTGAGGCTGAATTGACAGAAACTGGGTGAGGCTTGAGCCTCAATGGGTCCACCACCGTTGGATGGCGCGTCGAAAGTTAGCGCTAGATCAGTAACGAACTGATTGAAATTTCTTCTGTTATTTTCGCAAAATAAACTAGAAGCGCTTTTTGGTAACGCAATCACGCCACATTAGAGGAGGTTTTGATAAAACTGTTTTAACTAAACAATAAGACCTGAGAGGTAAAAGAGTTGGACAAAATAAAACCTAACTTCTATAGATTTGTTTCATACCAAATACTTGTAAACAAAGTCTTCCTTTCGTTCTGAAGAGGAAAAACTGACAAAGAAAATGATTTAAATTTTTGTCGTACACTTTAAGATGATCGCGGAACCCTGTCAGATATCAGTAAATCTGCATAAATTCTTGAAAAAACTGAACAGAAACTTAAGAAATCTTTTAAGTTTATATTAAGATCTGCAGCCAAGACTTTTTAGTTAGGTAAATATTCTTTCTTTTCAATGTAATTTTAAGAAGAGCTAAAGAAACGACGTTCTATCAGAAATTATCTGCTAAACGAGAACGATTTTTAAGAGATTTAATGTACCTCTTAACTGAGGTTGGAAAACACAAATTACTCTAGTGTCATATGAGAAAAAACATTTGGCTTTAGTTTTTTTGGGAAATGAATTTAAAGAAAAATATTGTGTACAAACTATTCATAAGTATTATCTTGTACATAATTCTAAACATCTTTGTTCATATTCGGTTAGTTATTGAAATTTGATCAGATCTTTGGCGCGTATGGATAGATTAGAATTTTGCATGTTTGGATGCCATGTATAAAACTCTACCAGTTATTCATTATTCTGAATGAAAAAGCGGTACATTTACATTAAAATTTCCAACAAGTTTTAGTACTAAAATCTGCTAATAAAAATGAGAGTCTATACAAATTCTAGACGCTTTCCGCCTTTAACTATAAATTTAAAAGGGTTTTTTAAACAGAGTTCTTTTGTTTTTTACTATGCTTTTCGTGGACTAGTGGGTGCTTTTCTAGACGTGTTTATTATTGGGGTGTACATAACATCTAATAAAACTGGGTGTTCCAACGGCGACTTTTTGTCGCATGCAGAACGAAAAACTTCATTAAAACTTAACTTTTTGGCAACTTTTTTGGATTTTCATCAACAATTTCTCACCCCTTTTTTCTTGAAAATGTGAATAACTTTAAAGGCACATCATTTTATGCAGTTTTCGACGCTGATTCCAAATATCACTTTATTTTCTTTTTAAAATGCAACTTTGATGTCGCAAACGCCAGAAAACTGTAACAGCGATGTCGGTCGACCATCTTGTTTTCAAATATTGATCACTCTCCAGGGGTTCTAAAACAAAGTTGTATGACTCGGATTGTAGTAAATTGAATTTCCTACAAGATGACATCTGCAAACTTTTAGTCAAATTCTGTTTGGATGCTAAAAAGTGACTTTTATTCGAAAAAAAAGGCTAAAAGCTTTTTCATAATCCCACCCCCATTTTGATAGTAAAATCCGAATAAATAAAAACCATAGGTTATTTTTCACTTGTGACTCGATTTCTCGCTCGCCCGACAAATCCTCTCTTACGCTATGAGCGTTCAAAGGTATTTTTATACAAAATCAATATCTATAAAAAAATCTGAATCGAATGGCATACAGTTCATGTGTTTTAAAAAAAAAAGTTTTATTCCTAATTTTAAGGCAAAGCGTGATCAGTGGCGTCTAACTAATTATTTGTAAATTATCCAAAAAAACCGACGCGGAGGAAACTCCAAACTTTGCCGATAATCGTTTTTTCAGTGAGGAGTTTAATAGTTTAACCCTATTCCGTCCACGTGGGGTCCGTGCGGACTACAAACGAAAACGCGTGCTTTGAAGATATGTCTTGCTGCTCCGCCAGATAAATAATGAGTGGATGCAATCAGTTCATATTGATAGAACACCCTATTGTCATTCAGTGGAATATAAAGTGAAGCGGTAAAATCTAACCGTTGTGTTCAGGCAGTATTCAAATGAGACCGATAGAATTTGGGCATATTATTAGGGAGTCGAATCAGGATTAAAGTCTTAATTTCGCTCTTTTCAGGAAATTCACTCAGTTCATATGCTCATGATCTTAAGAAAAGGATTTATTTTAACCTACATATTTGTTAGAATTTATGTATTTGCCACTGGTTACGCTAATATTCAAAAATCACGATCTGTCCAGCGGATGATTCGAGAGACAGAAATATATTATAATATTTTTGAATATGTTCACTGAGAAAGCATCTCTGTGTAAGTAAAGGTAGTGTAGTCGCGTATTTTATTATAATAACCTTGTAGGTGACAGAAGATAGAGAAGAAAAGAAAAGAAAACCGTCAAGGCTAGATACGAATAAAATCTTTATCTATTTTGTATGTCATATGTAGCCATGTCGATAACATTTCATTCAGACCGTATTTTACTCAGAGATTTTTTGTCAAAAACGTACCATCAATTTATTTGAAATAAGGTCTTCAGATAAATAGTAAAATCTATGGTTTTAACAGTTTATCAAAATTTTTATATATTGTATTGATTTTGAAACTTTTAGTGCACAGTCGAATAAATCGTCGATAAATATTACTTATAAATTATATCAAAGTTTTCATTCGACACATGTATTACTTTATATCATAAGAGACAGACAGTTTCATATTCTTTTTCTGTATTTTAATGGGAGAAAAACTGTGATTGCTTGCATATGTTACCTTTGAAGAGAACGATCAAAAGAAACGAACAAAAATTTTTTGTGGCAATCATAGGAGATGCAATTTAATGTAAAATTAACAAAACCAGACACATGTTCCATATTTGATTTTCACCCACAAAATAAAAATTATATGAAAATAGTAGAAAATTAATAAAAACAGATTTATTCCAGTATATTTTAAAATTAATTTCTACGATATCAGTGTGATAAATTATGCAATCGTCAATAACAAAATTCTGCAGTTTTTTGGATGGTAAGATTCGTCAAATTGGACATAAATTAAAAAATTATTTCAAAGTGTATGATAATGTATTGGAGTCAAGTTCAACGTTAGAATCAAAACGTTCAGCAGATGAAACATTTATTAATCAATTTCCAACTACAATTTCTTTCACTGAACATGTACCCGTTAATCATAATCGTATCACAAAACGATATACCATTCAAGTTTAATCTAATTTTATTAATATTGAAAAAAACAGTATGAATGAAATTGTAATTTTGCGTTAATATTTTTTGCTTCATTTAGAGATGGTACTCGAACGTCTGATGAGTTCTTGACTCATAGAAAAGAAAATCTTTTTATCGTTGTAAAAATCAAAAAAATTATCAAATCTTTTGGCATTTACACAATTAAATGTTGACTATACTTTTGTCGCACAGGACTACATTGTACTGTTAGGTATGATAAAACTAATAGTTTCCGATGCTAATTAAAACGTTCAATGGGTTAGAAACGAACTTTTTCTGATAGCCATAACCATTTAGCGTTTTTCTCAAGCCATGTCGATCAAATAAGACATTTGAAACAATTCATGTGTTAAATGTGGATGATACATGAGTATCCAGCAGAGTCTATGTGAAAAAACCGAATTAAGAGACGATTTGTCAACCGATCGAGAAAAGCAGTCAAGAGCAAAAAATTCAGTCTGTGGTTTTTATTTTATATTCGGAATCTACAATCAAATCTGGGTTTATGAAAAAATGTTAAGTCTCTTCTGACTTATTTTGACGGAGTTATAGAATTTACGAAATGAGAATCATCGAGAAAGTTCGAAAAAGTACTATCCTCAGTATTCTGTCTATAACTCTATTAATTTTTGTCCATTTTGTTCGAACAATATTTCATTTGAAAGCCCATCAAAAACTGAACAAAAGGACACATTGTTCGATTTTTTAGCGTTGAAACAGAATAGTTTGAGAACAAACAAGGGAAAAAACATGGTTTCTAAAACTGAAATTTTTCGAATCAAACCAATTTTTCGGCACCTAAAAATATTTCTCAAAAAATGTAGTCATGCTGTCGGATACAGCATTCAATTCTTTTCAAGCGACTACTCGACTTAATCTACAGAGATTCTCTTGAAATTAGGCATGCACCGAGCCCGACTAATCGACAGACATTCTCATTACGGAAGACACTTTTCAGCTGTAAGATTACGTTTAATTCAGAGAAATAATTTCTGTTGTTTATGCCATAGGAGTATGGTAGTAATAATGGCATTGTCGCTGTATTGAGCTTATTGTTGCTACATTGTTAGTTGCTATATTGAGCAACTGTTAGCTTCTAACGAGGGAACCTCTTGAGGTTATAAATCGCTTTTGAACTCGGACTACTTGTATCTTGTAGACCTCAGTGAGTAGTGAAATACCCTAAGTTGGTTCATCCCATGGTGCTTTCTTGCTGAGATATTGAATTTTTAGTCAGTTTTTGCCTACAGAGCTTGGATTTCGAGCAAAATCCGACTTTCGAATTTTGACTTGAAACTTGCCACACTGGTAGCCTATGGTCATAGTAGTACGATGGGAAAATATTCGATCCTAATGAATTTTCCTGCCTTGAGATATCGAGACTCGAATATTTCACTTGAAAGTGAGGGTGAGGGTCAGATGTTTGAGTCTCAATATCTTAAGGCAGGAAAATTCGTTAGGATCGAATATTTTCCCATCGTACTACTATGACCATAGGCTACCAGTGCGGCAAATTTCAAGTCGAAATTCGCAAGTCGGATTTTGCTCGAAATCCAAGCTCTATAGGCAAAAACTGACTAAAAATTCAATATCTCAGCAAGAAAGCACCATGGGGATGAACCAACTTAGGGTATTTCACTACTCACTGAGGTCTACAAGATACAAGTAGTCCGAGTTCAAAAGCGATTTATAACCTCA